ATTGTAGCTGAACTATCAGAAGTAATTTTTTAATAAAAGTCACTTGATAGTTTAGGTATAACTTTTATTATTTTTTTTTTATAATAATATCATTTTTGACAGTTCAGATATGACTATTATTATTATTTTTCTAGTATTGACAGTTCAGTGTGATTATTTTTTATAATAAATTTTACATCTGTATTGTTAGAGTCAACTTCATTAGTATTTTTCTAGAAAAGTCACCTCTGATAATTTGGATTTAACTTTATTATATTTTTAAAAGTCATTTGTGTTAATTCTGATATGACTTTTATCAATTATTTTCCTAATAAAAGATGCTTTAAAAATTTAGAAGTATTATTATTAACTGAAACTTCAAATCAATTAGAAATTTTTGGATTGAATCTGTTTAATTCAGATTTTTTTAGTTCAGATTGAATTATAATCTAAAAAAAATCTGAACTGATCTGAATTTTTTAGATTGATTTTTTTACAATCTAAACTTAAAAATAACTGAATTGATCTGAAAAATTTTTAGATTGATCTAAACTATTCAAAACTTTAAGTGATATCTTTAATGAAAAAGTTGATCAAATGGCTTAGACTTTCCTACTTTACACCTAATAATTAATGATCAGAGCTATATATAAAGCTGAAATAGATTATTTCAGATATCTGAAATAGTCGAAATAGTTAAAATCATTTTGACTATTGGAAGTGAAAGTCGAAATGGTCAAAATGACATTATATCATATGATTTTTATATATAGAAAAAATAAAAAACAAAAGATATATGATTTCAGTCAATATCACCCTGATTCATATGAAACAACTACCATTCGATTCCTCACTCTCTTTCTCGTTGGATTTTTTCCAAGAATTTTTACTTAAAAAAAATGCCTATTCAATAGTAACTGCAGCTTAACCTGCGAATAAAACAAAAAATTCACCTTTCAAAAATATTTCTTTCTTTGTTTCCCACACTCCTATTCACATAAATTTTTTTGAAATAGTTTAAACAGTGTTATTTTTTGTTAAAATATTTTTTCTTCATCTCTTTACAAAAAATTTTTTTCATTTTTCTCTTTTTCTTTTTTGTTTACTAAAAAGTGGGTATCAAGGGTAAGGGGTATCCCAACCGATGATCATGATCGACATACTTTGGATAAACAAATCTCATGTGATGACACCTTTTTCTTTCTAAACAATATATTCTCTTTTGATTGGCCTCTGCCTTTTTGCAGATCCTCTGTCATCAAAGGTTACGTGCAAATTTAGCGTAAATCATACTTTGTTATTTTCAGACAGTGTAATGGTAGCTACCACTTGGTTTTGTATTTTTTGTCAGCTTAAACAGGTTTTAAATAGAACTACAGGGGTTATGCTATAGTACTTACTCAGTGTAAGTTTGCTTCGTCTAGATCCATTTTTCCTGATAACCAGGTAAAGAGTATAGATTACTATCTGTTAATACATCGTAGGTTTTTGTAATAGATTTTATGTGATATTTTTTTTGTATTATGAATCTATAAGTATGAAGAGCCTCTGTTTAGACTTTTTTTGGACACATCTTCTTTGATCAGGTGATCATTTATTCAGAATTAACTGAACATTTAGGTTTTTATAGAGTTTTGTTAGTCTTTTTTAATAATTTTTATTTGCATCTATTTCCCTTCTTAGGAGAGTTGTTAGTTTGTTTAATTTTTATTTAGAAGTTGGGATTGAAGAGCATTTAGAAATTATGTTTTTGTATTGACAATCTTATTTAAATTTCTTGTTGATGGCTAAGTCATTAAATATGGATTTTTTGGTTGCGTTGGAGGGATTTCAGTAATCAGTCGATCTAAATGTGTTTAAGCTTTTATTAGTAATAGAACTATAGAAGATAGTCATTCGTTTAGCTTTTTATCTACTTTGTAATTTTTTTTGTAAATTTTATCTAGTATACAATATATAATTAATAACCTTATGGCAGTACTGTATCGTTAAAGTCAAAAAAAACCATTCGATTTCTCGTGACTAAACGAATTCAATGAGCTAACATTTATTGATTTTAGATCATCTAATCTCAAGATAATTGCAATTGTATTATCAGCCAAAATTATAAATCAATAAATTCTACTTTAAATAAATGAGTCTGGATTTTGAAATATGATCGTATATATCTCAAGATAGGCTAATCCAAAAATTAATAAAGTTTAGCTCGTTGGATTCGTCTAGTCGCAGAAAATCAAATGGTAATTATTTCATATAAATCAGAGCGATATTGACTGAAATCATACATCTTTTGTTTTTTTTGTTTTTTCTATATATAAAAAATCATGGGATATGACGTAATTTTGACTATTTCAACTTTTCATTTTGACTTTGACCACCAAAGTCAAAACATTTTGACTTTCGGGTTTTCATTTTGACTTCATATATAATCAGAATCATATTATCTTCATTTAATGAGCTAGTAATTGCTTCTCCTATTCAATTTTTTATTAAAGAAATTGTATGTATAAAGATATTAATCTTATTTTTAAATCTTGATGTTAACTTCAAATATGCTTTCTTGGATAATAATTGGATTGCTACTTTATTCTGCACCTCTGATAATATAACTATCTTCACTACTAGTTATAAATATCATATATAAAGAAAAAGAAAGTATAATGATTTTTAAAGATACTTCTTATTATGAAAATTCTAAAAGAAGTGTCATCTTTTATTATTCAAAAATTCATGGTCTTGCATCTGATGCAATATTAAAAATAAAGATTTCTTTCACATTTGGATTTGTATTAGTATATACTAATAAATGAGACCTTTATAATAAAAAGGGAAAAAAACTACCAGAAAAATCAAAAATGAGTTAATGCTAAATTTGAATATATTTCAACCTAAAAATCATATTTGGCATATAAAAGAAAATTGATTTTTCCCGGCAGTTTCCCCCTTTCTATTACAAAGATCCCAAATGATCATTATTATTGAAAATTCAAAATAATATTTAGTATACCTTATCTTATAATAATAGACTTATAGATATTATTGATTAATTAAATATATGGTCTGTTTCAACAAATACAATTTACTTTCTTAGATCTAATCAAAAAGGAATTATACCTTCTATATTATTTAATTTCATTAACTTATTCACCTTTAGAGATAATACTAATTTAGTCATATCCAATTTCGTGTATTATGTATTTGAGTAATCTTACATAATTTGGCTTTATCAATATTTACTCCTTAAAGATTACATAATATTACTGATTTGTCTAAAAAAATCTCAATTTGAAGCTTTTAAATTTTTCTCTTTATTACAAAGTTCTATTATGTTTATTATGTCCTTCTCTTTAATAGATAAAATAATACATTTAGAATCTCACTGATCAAATTTTTAGTGTAATAGAGGTCAACCCTTTTTCTTTTCTAATTATTAAAATGTGATAGTATAGTTTTAGTTATATTAGATTCTGAAGAAGTGCAGGGTCAGTCTTGATTTAGATAGTTTCATGATTATTTAAATAGAGATTTTTATAAATTCTGAACATATGTAAAACTATCACACTTAAAAAAAAATGTTGCATATACATTTTTCCTTATTATATTATTACTAAATTAAAATCTGGCAGTATATGATGAGTTTGATTTTGCTGAATTATACAGATTTAGACAAATCTTCCATCATTGTCTTGAAATGCTTAATTTAAGGAAAGATAATATGCCTTTACTGGATGATATATATGAAACATTAGTTCAATATTACAATGCTGCATATATTGGAAATTTACGACAATTTCCGATGCAGCTTCTGTTAAAATAATATTGGAAGATTTGAAATGTAAATCAATATGGACATATTCGTATTGGAGCCGAAATCTTTGGAGCAACAATTGCATCCCTATACATGATAAATTTGCATATTTTTGGCCAAGTTTGTACAAGACAATGATACAACTGATATATTTCCCGGTCAAGTTCAATTCGTCATTAATCACACAATTGAACTTCTGACTGGTACAACAACGCACCATTTGGCTTTTGTCAAATGGTATCTTCCGGCACCAAACTATCGAATGAGATTTTATTGTAAAGTGATAACAAATTAAAACAAAGAGAGATCAAAACAATTGAAAATAAAATGAAGAATTAAGATTTTAGAAATGAAGTAAATGAATCTCACAAAATCCCAATTAAAAAATCAATTAAAAAACTCATGATAGAATATTTACATCAAGAGCAACAACGTCAAGAGCAATTACGCCAAGAACAACAAAGTCAAGTGCGATTGCAAATATAACAGCGTCAAGAATAATTAAAAGTATAACAGATTTAAAGAGCCATTCCAAGAATAACTGCATCTACATGTTAATAACGTTCCAAAATTTATTTCTCCCAATCTTATTATTTTTTACAATTATCTAAATTTATTATTTATATATTACATCATATTTTATCGAATAAATGTGAAAAATATTTTAGCAGTATATAACGGCTTGATTTTCTTTCAAAATATAAAAAATCCACTCCACAATTGATTTAACAGAAATAGCCTCTTTGACTAACGGATTTAAAGGAACCCCAATTACCCCCAAGAAATAATTTTGGAAGTCTATGACCGGTCTTTAAAACATAATTTGTTATATTGGTTAACTTACATTCTTTGATTGTGTTTTTAACAATTAATTCAAATAATTATTATAAAGTAATTTACATTTATAAAAAAAATGAATTTTATAAAAAAATTTTTACTTAAAAATAATCTAAAGCGCAAACATAACTAGCTGTTTATGTAATGTTCCAAAATTTCTTATTAAAGGAAAAAGTTATGTCGGAAAATTCAACCCTATATAACGATAAGCTAATGGCCAAATAAATTCCGAAGCAAATGAAGTAATTAAGCTTTTGATAAGAGTCCAAATTATACCTCTTGATTTGTAACCTTCTTGACATTGCTCTAATATTTCTTCTTTATGTAATAGTAGCTCGCCTAGCCTTTCTTCTTGTAGACGCTCTTGTAATTGTTCTTAATGTAGTCGTTCTTGTAATTGTTCTTGATGAAACCATTCTTGAACTTCTAGCTGATCTTGTGACTCTTCTTGATGTAACTGTTCTTGTATTAGCTGTTCTTGTGGTTGTTCTTGTTCTTGCATTTCGTCTTGACGTAATCGTCCTTGAAATTCTTCTTCCTGATGTGATTATTCTTGTAATTCTTCTTGATGCAACCATTCTTCTTGCCGCAGTTTCTCCTGACGTTATTGTTCTCTTTTTATTGTTTGGTTTCTATAATTTTAATTTTTTTGTTTTTTAAGCAAATCTTTGATTTCTTTGTCACGTATAAAATTTGATGGAATCAAAAAAAAAAATTTTTTTTTTTAATTATTCATAACAAAAACAATCTCTTTATATGTTTCATGAAAAAAAAAAATTGGGTTATAAAACAAATTTCTAATCCCAAATACGGTGAAAAAATTTCCAAAATGTAACGTGAGACGGCATTCTGTAGACGAATGATTCACTAAATTATTTAATTTCCTGAAATGATAAATAACTTTATGAAACAAATTTAGCAATTTTCGTCTGTTATTGTTCACTTTCAAAATTAACCGATGATATTTAACAGTAATTTATTATCGTTTATGTTTTCCGCTCACTTCTAGTAAAAATTTTATTTTATCACATAAAATTCTACTCCACAGAAAACATCGCTTTTTTAGCTCTTTTTTTGGTCAATTTTTTTTAGCCGGTTCCGGTATTGAATTTTTCGGGAGTTGTTTAAATGAAATCTGATAAAAGATCAAAGTTAAAATTCTTACCAAATTAATTCTAATAAAAGTCATAAATTAAGGTTTTTTAACAAATTATTTATAAACTTTATTCTTTAAACATAGTTCTTTTAATGTAATATTTATAATTTATTAAGAATAGGGTGGAATTAACATGGTTATTTGCTATATTCTATCTTTTGTGAAATTTTAAAACGGTTTGAATCAAAAAAAAATTGTACGAGGTAATTAAGTGGAAGGATGGAAATATTGAACAATTATTACATGGTCATTTAATATTCTGTATATGAAAATCAAATTTTCTTGGTGAATGGTTCTAAATATTACAAAAAATTTAAATATTAATAAATTTAACCTTAAATATCAAAGTCTAATTCCTTCGTTACATAATCTAAGAAAGTTGTTTAAATAAAATAATTATTATTATTATTTATAAATAATCATAAAGATGACGAGAATATTTACCACTACTTTCGCTTTTAATCCTTTTATTACTTTTGTTATTTTCAGTAAAAGTATTTATGAGCCTTCTTTTATCTGTTTAAAAAAAATGATTATTAATCAAAATAATATAAAATTACTAATGAACGTATTAATTAATAAAATTACCGGATTGACTCTTGATTAACATGTCGCTTATAAGCCTACTTTTATAGATTGCTTCCGAATCGTTTGTTGTAGGTCCAATATTTGATGATTTTACAAGTCTGGTTGGATTAATTTCTTCTTTTAAAATAATTTTATCAAGAATTTCATAAATTTCATTGGTAGTTGGCCTCTGATTTGGATCGGTACTCCAACATCCTTGCATTAACTCTATATAACCTTCAGGCGCATTTGTGACAATTGGGGGTCGATAATCACAACAGATTCTATAGATGAGAGGTGAACTATGATGTTCGTTCCAAAAAGGTCTCCTGCCCGTCATTAATTCCCACATAATCATTCCAAAACTATACACGTCTGAGGCTGTCGTATACCTTTTGCTTTGAAGTATCTCTGGTGCAATATAAGGAATTACTCCATAGATTTCATCATCATCCTTCGATTCAATGGCGGACTTACTCAATCCTAAATCACATATTACCGAGAACCATCCGAAATCATAAAGAATATTTCCGCTATGAAAGTCTCGATGAATAATTTTTAAACTGTGAATATGATCTAAACCATGTATGATGTGTTTCAACATTTTTAACTTTTTGGACCAATCCATCTTGTAAAAGTTACCCTCTATATAATTCCTCAAATCACCTGATTTGTAATAATCCATGATGATCATATAATCATTTGTGTTGGGATTTTTGGTAATTCCGTAATAATTGACGATGTGATGATAAAATTCCCCACTTCTCTTCAAACTTATATCATAAAATATCTTTAGCTGCGATTGTAAAAGACGCTCATGTTAATAAAACTCTTCGATAAATTTAATCATGCAAAGTTAAGCGAGCCCATTTTGACATAATCAATTACCTCATTTAGCTTCTCCAAGGTAATATTCTCAGTGCCATTCAGATTCTTAAGAGCAACTTGTTTGGGGCCTTTCCGTTTAAAGACCTTTTGATGTCTATCCCAAAATCTGACTGGGCCATCAATCCAGGTAGCTTCATATACTTTGCCAAATCCCCCCGAGGCGATAAAATTTACATTTTCAAACCTATCGTAGGGAACAAACTCCATGCTCCCAATATGTTTATGATGATTGATTTGTGTAAACCTTATAAATTCATCAATAACTTTACTTCCGCTTGGTTTATATAATATCCTTGCTTTGTAACAAACCTTACAAAACTGACGAATTGAAGGTTTTCTTTTATTACATTCGATACATGTCACGAATGACGACATGGTTTTGATTTCTGATTGAATAAATTGCGATCTTTCCATTTTTTTTTTATTATTCTGTTATTTTGTCGAGAAGTCCTTATATATATCTTTTTTTTTTTTAATAGAGCCCGAAATAAGATCATATTTTTAGTAATTTCTTAAACAATGGAAGAATTACTTGATATAGAGGATGTCATGACCTGATTTCATGAAAGCAAGAGTGTATCACTACCTTCTTTTTAAATTCGGAAGGTGTATCAAAAAAACTTCCTTTGATTCATTGTAAAATAAACTCGTATGATAAAAGATTAATTATTTTAGGTAATTTAAATCTTAGCTTTCTATTTAAGGGATATAAGACAAAACAATCCCATGATCATCCGATTTATAATGAAAGCTCTGGAAATTTCGAGTATATCAAATAGGGCGTGACAAATAATTGGTGACAATTAGCATATTTCCTCATAAAAAAAAATAAATATTCTGTCAGAATATTTTTTAAATGGAAGAAAAGGTCAGGACGTGATGCCGCGTGACCTATACCTATCCCTAATCCTAATCCTAAAGCCAGTGTTGTCATTGGGAATTATGGACATTAAAAATGCCGTGATATTAAATTAGGAATTTTCATAACTGCTAATTTAATATTATAGTTCATTAGAATCGTCTTGATAAGGCGATCAAACCGCCGGGACATATGGGGTGAGTGCTGGGGAAAAAGGACCAAATCGCCAAAAAATTTTTTTTTTGAAATAACAAATGATCTGAATCAGATGACCAAATCTACATCTATTTTACTTGAGAACTTTTTTTTAAAAAAAAAATCAATTTGGTCCATTTTCCCAGCACTCACCCCATATATAAAAATTTAAAATATATCGTTATATCACCAAATATAGTGGGTAAATAAATTTTTATCGGTATATAGAATATCGGTATATCGAGGTCCGACTGTAGTCATTTTAAGTCTCTAGTATTAATATTGACGAAAGATGTTAGTTTAATGATTTTAATTATTTTCTTATTTGTAATCTTGGACAATTTTTGGATGGGACATTGGACGGGACTTTTCGAAGACATTAAAATTTTGGCCGGATATGACTTTCTCATGACTTGAGATGCCTTCCCAATTTAGAAATTCAACGCGATCAAAATATATAAATGTTTAATAAGCACCTTTACTCACCTCTCTCTGGTGTTAAAAAGAGAAAAAATATTTTTGAATATAGTCACGTGAAAATTCGCGGATTCATAAATTTATTAACGAATTTAATAACTTAATGCATTTAAAAAATTGAATTAATTAAAATTAAAATAATTTAAATAATTCCAATGTCTTTTTTGCTTTGAAATTTTTATTGTAGTTCTGATTATGTTTGTTACCTATTTTTTTTTATTACGTATCTATTAATCTATTACATCTAGTTTAGCAAATTACGTTGATATACAGAATCCGATACAGTAATATTATTTTATTACATTACGTAAAAATTCGATAATAGTTTATTTTGATTTAGTGCAATTTATTCTTGACGCGTTTATCAAATCACCTGGATTTAATCATTCGCGTTTGTACTTTTGTTTTTTTTTAAATAAAAATGAAGAAAGGGTATTTAATTACATATAATTACAGTAGTTGATAATGAAAAATGATATGATATTCTAAAATCAATTAATAATCGATGATGATAATGAAAATAATAAGATGATGCATTAATTAAAGTTCTAAATATTCATTATAAATATTAGGTTGTTGACCATTCAAGAATTCATCGTAAGCGGATTGTAATACTCCCATCCAAGAAGTTGGAAGAATTTCGGTTTTCCAATTGTTATGCCAATGATACGCGAATGCGCCGGGGAAAAATCCATCAACCTTACGCAGCGCAGGCGTGGCATCCTCGGGCTCAACATTTTTAAATTCATTTGGGGCCAAGTCAGGTCTAAATACATCGTACCATACATTGATATTCGGTGTTAAAATTGATTTAGGTTGTTTATGATCCCTCTTTAACCATAAAGGATCGAATAATGCTACCGGAAGCATATAAAGATAAGGATTTACATCATCCTTCGTTGGGTTAAATTTCTCGACAAAATACTTCTTGATGTCGAAAGGGTGAAATTTCATACGATTTTGCATTGCACCTTCAATTGCCATCCTAGTGGTTGTACTATTTGCACGAAGCCGTAATACGGCGGTGTTATAATCTTCTTTGAAACTCCATTGATAGGAAAATTCGAAATTCGTTTGATAAAATGGACGTAGATCACGTAATAAAAGCACATCTGCATCCACATATATTCCACCATATCGTTGAAGGACAACGAAACGTACCATATCACTGAATGATACAGCCCTTCGTTTTGAACTATAAATGGATTTCCATCCATGATATATCGGATCGAGATCAAGTTGTTCTTCGGTATCCCATTTCATAAATTCAATAAATTTTGGTGAAAATTTAAGTAAATTCTTTGCGTGCGGATTTTCGTCCAATCTCATATCATTATCGTCTAACCAAACGTAAAGTTTAGAACATTGTAAAGGTTGGGTGAACATAAAAGATTTGATCATCATTGCGATCTTGTCACTAAAATCCCCTTTCCAGAATACATGAAAAAGCGTTGGAGGTTGATCGGGCAAGCATTTTGTCGTTTCATTTAAATTTGAATTCGGATTAGGGATGGTATATTCTGATTCATGTTTATCAAGATATTCCAAACATTGTTCGACGAGAAATTTGCTCATATCGCAATGATCTACCACTTGTGTATAATCAATTATATGATCATCCTTTGGTCTCATTCGAAAGGTTTGTATATTGCTTGATAAATTTAGAAAATTTCCTTCTTCGTTATGTGACACTGACGGATATTCATCGCTCTTTAGGTCTATTTCTATTTGAATACTCGTTAACGTTGGTAATTTTTTATTTTGACAGAATAATTGTATGGAAGCGATATAATACAAGTCACATGCAATAATAAATGCTGCTATATAACGAACAAATTTATTATTTATTAATTGTTGCATTATAAAAAAGAAAAAGATTTGGAATTGTTTTTTTTTATCTTTTTATTTTTTATTTTTTAGAGAAGAGGAGGGAGGCCCTTGCTTTTATATTCTAGGTTTCGTGACATGGAATTTGGAATGTTTTGTCGAGAATATGATGACATGAAACGGTTATGCTTAGTAATTAATGAATGATCTAAGCTAAATATGATGATGAAACATTTTTCTTTTTAATTTAAAGCACCCGCGAAATTTTTTTGTTACGTTTAAAATAAATCCTAAACGATATGCATGGTGTAACTAACACAACTTCAATCAGAAAAACAAAAAATTTTATCCCTTTTAAGAAAAGATATTGTTAATAGGCGTAAAACAAGGAAAAAAAAAAATTTGATTTCAAAAGCGATTAAAGAATTCATCCATCATGATAAAATACATACAAGTTGTGTTTAACTTATTTGTTTTCATGAAAACCGGGTTTTGAACCTAAATCTCGTTAGTATGTATTTTTGTAGTGTAACGCGGCTGTGTCGAAACAAACTGGCGTCGTACTGCGCCAAATACATTAAATACATTGTTCTAAGAAAAGATAATCTTAATCACTAAATTAATCTTTTTTTTTATTACCACAAAACAAAAAATTTAGGAAAATGAGGTTGATAATGTTAGATTAAAATGCAATAAATATTAAAATTTTAATAAAAAATGCTCAGAGCCCCATTTTCCTAGCCAACCTCCCATATTTCGAATTTTTTTTTTTTAAAAAAAATGAATATTGTGGTCATCCAGTGGTCATAAAATATCAACCATATTGTCTCGTTTAATAACCGATGTTCATGCCATGCAAGATAGATTTAGAGATCCTTATTGTAGTAATAATAAATAATTTATTAATTAATATAATTCGCTTTTTCATATTTCTAAATCAGGTTATTTTTCATTAACCATTAAAATAATACAGTATATTGTTGCCCAATAAAAGTTTTAAAATTCGCAAAATAAACAGTACTTTTTAATATAATAAAAAGAATAAACAAAAAAAAAATTTTTTTTTCAGACAAAAAAATTACATTTTTGACGATCAAACCTTACTTATGATCGTTTGATCATCGGGCATTTTACCAATATGTCATATTTATCCCCTCGTTTCTAATTTTTAAGATGGCGTGCATATAAACCATCCGTTTTACTTGTCACGATCATGATAACTCTTTTACAAAGAAATCAATTAATTCACATTCGGATTAATATAGATTTTATGCGGCTTTTTAATACAAATCTTCAACATTGAATTTTCGTCTACTTTTCTAGTAATTATTAAAAAACTTTCAATTTATCATTCGTTCATATACAATTATTAATTTACATCTAATTTTTTTTTATTTAAACTTACTATTAAATCTTTACAGTCATAATTCCATACTTCTATGCCTCCACAACAGCAACAGCAAGCCGCATACACTTTCTCATGGACATTACGAGGCTTCAATGAACTTCATCGACAGATGTCCCCGTCAAATTTCGCCTATTCGGATCGTTTTCATTCCCCAAGGGGAAGTGCAATTGATTTTATTAATAGAACGAAATACACATTTAAATGTCTATAATTATTTAGTAAAATATATTTAGAATACACTAAAAATATTTTTTATACATAAAATATTATATAAACTGAAACTTTGGATATTTTTATCCTACATGTATGCTTAAATCTGTCATTGGGTGTTATAAATATTTTAATGCATCTTTTTACTGCAGTATGTTAAATGAATTTCATTTCAAAAATTGGTTGATTTAATAATCAGTTTGCATCTGATGTATCAAAATTCAAATAAATCATTTACTTTTCCCGAATTTGGGGCTATTTTTATTAATACTGTATATATGATTATTCACATGGCATTAGGCCTTATACTTACATTACTCGTCTTTTCCGATATAATCTTGATCATTTCATAGCATATATCGATCTCAATTCTATCCAAATTTCCTCTTTTCTGTCGAAAGATGACTTAAATGATGTTCAGCAGTGACGTACATTTTCTATGTCCCAAGCATTTTGAAACTGTACCACAATATGTCCCATACTGTCCGTCCAACTTTAGATCCCAATTTCCTAGAACAATGTCCAATGACAACACTGCAATGTTCAGTTTCTTTTAGAGGCACGACAGCATTATTCTATAGGTTTTAGGAAGAAAGAAGCAAAGAAAATTTTTTATTTTTGTAAAATCAAAGTAAACAGGTGAATAAATAACAAAAATAAATGTAATTTATTAATTAAAAAAATTATTTTATATAAATAATCTAAACTATCAAAGAAAATATTTTTCATCTAAGTAATATAAAAGCTAAATGTAGATGTTCAAACAGGTCGGTTCAGGTCGGGTATCCGTCTTGAAGGTTCGGGTCAGATCGGGTACCCAGGTCAGTTCAGATTAACCTATATGTACTATGTTTAAATTTAATAAATCAATAAAGTTTAATTCTTTTCACATCTAGTAATTTTAAAATAATTATCTTTTAGCTCAGTAATCAGTAAGTTGGATCTAATGGTAGAAGTTCTTATAAATATAGGATGATAAATTATTTACATCTAAATACTTGTTGCTTTTGAATTGTCTTTGATTTTGACATGTAATAACTACTAATTTCAAGACATAAAATTTCATTCTTTAATTTTTCAATATTTATTTTATTATATTATACTAAGTTAATATTTTTATAAAATATCTGTAATTATAATAATATTATATTTTTATATTAATTTTATTGATCAAAATTTTTTCTTTTACAACTAATTTCATAATTCATGAACTACTAATAAATTGCGACTGAATGTGAATAAATATATTTTATAATTAAATTACTATCCTTAAATTGTAGGGTTTCATAGGCAAATTTTCCTGCTAGACAATCTAAGGAATAAAATATTATGACTAAATGAAATTGAAAAATTATTAATTGTCTATAAATTATGAAATTAGCTGTAAAATAAAATATTATTATAATATATTTTTTATATTAAAATTTAAATATAAATTTACATAAGTTTAAATAAATGATTGTATAAGATTTTATATTACTATTTATCGGGCATTTACTATTTGATGATTTTTGTCAGTACAACTTGTTACTAAGCATTTATAACTATCTATTTTATTTATTAAAAGTACAATTTTTATAATACTTTTTAATTACAATTACTTTCTGCTCATATTTTTTCTTTTTATTCTTTATATCGTTAGATTATATAAAATTAAATTCTTATAAAAGGCGTTTTGTATTCTTTTGCATTAATTCTTTAGCAGTAATGAAATTGTTATAAACTGAATCATTATTTTCCT